AACAAAATAATGTCTCTCCCTTTTAATTTTGAATCATTGATTCAATTTTCGTTAACATTATAGACTTACATGTTTCCTTGTAAGTTTAATTACACGTTGAAATATATCCAAAAAGTAACTAATAGTTACTTTTACGTTATTTTTTGTGATTTTTTTTTATATCAAACACGAAACTTTAACAAGAAAACAAAAACACCATAATATATACACTTACATACGTACTTTTCCAGTAATTTATGTTCTAGTGTAAAATTCAGATTGCATTGTTTCTTAACCTCCGGTGTATGAAAACAATTTGATCAATGTCATTATTCGACGTTAATTTACAATTTTATAAATTAAATCCAAGATTTTACATAGTTATCTGATATAAGACTATAGTTTTCCAACAACCATACCAAAAGAGGAAATTCCAGCAAATGTCACATTGTCACCCCTGTTCTTGGTCATGATCACATAATTTTTAGGCGCGCATCAAGCAAACATAATCGACAAACAAGGTTAGATAATAAAAAATTCGGACACACTCAACAACCCGATTTAACTTTTAATTATCCCATCAAAAAGAAGAAGAGAATGCAGTTATGCATTCTGTCTTCTTTAGAAGGGTTCAATCAAATTCAGCTTTGGACAGATTATTCAAACACACAAAAGAGTTGTAGGAAATTTGAAAAATGACCCTTCAAAAAAACCATGCATAGAATTCTTAACCTTCTTTAGTTCTTTCAAAAGATTATCATCCCCGTGGGTCGTGAATTCGTGACGCTATTGTGGACGAATGCAACTTACATCTCTTTGAATTCACCAACAAATTTTAAATATCCTCCAAATAAAGAACACAGTTTTGACACTGTAGTAAATAATGCATACACATCAAATCAATGTTCTAACTGTTACACTGAACGACATTACTATTATCTTCCCAATAAACAGAGAATCTAAGACAGTAAAACTGCCACAGCCCTTTGTCTCTATCGCTTGCTGGCCGTCACAAATTACCATACTTTTGTTTTGTCGCCATGTTTTCCATCTTCCATCAGTTGTTTTTTTCCCCCAATCTATGCTAGTTGCATCAGCAAATGTAAGTCAAAATCAACACTATCTATCTTCGCAATCTGACACAGTTTTTGGGCCTCTACTTGTATTTATTTGTAAGGACATGAAGCCCGTCTATAACCCTCGGTTTTGTCACATGTATATATCCATGTTAAATAAATGTGTACCCCACAATGTGGCCAAAATAGAAGGCTTGTAGACTACAATTTCAGCTTTGGCAATTATCTAGGCAAAAAGTTCTTAAACATAGATTCTGTTTTTTGCTCCATTTTCCAATGATAAACTTGACGTTGCCGGTTTCAGCTACTCCTGTGCTTTCTCGAGTCTTGCTTTGTCATCAAGTGACATGAAATTTCTTTGTCAATTTAGATAATAGAAATTGTTATGAATAATCACATATTTATCATTTCATAATCAAAAATACCAAAGCTGAACAATTTATTTATATATATAAAAAAACAACGTATAAATTATTTATTGGCTTAGTTTATCCAACATTTCTAGTCAGAATCTCGTGCCAGGAATAAGCTACGTTCTAGTTTGAATTTCACATTCCATAATTATGATATATTATTTTTAGTTTTGAATGCAATTAAGAATTTTGGATCTAAAAAATCAAGGAAGTCATGGACTGGAAGCTTGGAGCATATAATCGCTCTGTCCGAATATTTTATAGCAAATTCCTTTGGAGTTTATGTGTATTTTTCTTATCTTTAATCAATATATTATCATGTACTATTAACCATCAATTATATTTAGTCTCTTACAAACTGTTATGGAATAAAAATGCATTAGAAAAAATTTAGTTATTGTTAAAGTTTGAAGTATTCAAAATATGTATTATAGGATGCTTTAGTCTTGAATATAGTCGTGTACTTGTTCAACTAATTCTCTTAACTTAATTCTCTTAACTTAATGATTATAAAGTCTGTCTAAACTCATGAAGGATCAACATAATGATTTCATGTTTGATTTTTATTTTTGTTAAAATAATATTTGACGTTATATTATGACATTCAATCCGTACATTAATAGTATTGATCAATGTTTAAAAACCCGGATCGAACCGGCCGGTTGGACCGGTTAGACCGGGAACCGGTGGTCCAGACGGTCTGAATCGTAAGTTGGATCGGTTATGCAGTCGATCCGTTGCAAGCCGGATTGAACCGTCAATTTTTCAGTTCAACCGGTGAACTGGTGGGTTAAACCGGTTCAACCACTTTTTTTTATATATTTTTTAAAAATTTTAAGAGACCATAAACCACAAAAATAATAATAAAAATTGAATCTCTTAATGGAAGAACAAAGATTCTTATTAAATATAACAATGACTAATTCTAATGTATTTGTTTATAATATATATAACTTAAATAACTTTTATAGTATATTATTAATTTTAAATTATATATTTAATAATATAATATCTATGTAGATATTACATATATTATTTTGTGATATCAATTGCAAACATATTATATATATACATATTATTTATATTTTTAATTTATATTAATATATAGTTTAACATATAATTTTTTATATATTTTTTTACAAAATAAAAATAAAAATAATTTTAAATAAGATAGAAAAATTGAAATTTAAAATAAAATATGAATTTATTAAAATTTATAAATATAAAATATATTTAATATGAATATTTTTTAATATAAATAAATAAAAATCGAGTTATGCGGTTCAACTAGTGACCCACCGATTCAACATTTGACCCACTGACCCAGTACCTTAACCGATTTGATGACCGGTCTGGTTTTTAAAACTATGGTATTGATCCTAATATTAATTTTTTTTTATTTACTAAATATTTGACAACCATCGGATATAGATTGTCACCTTAGTATTTTATAATGGGTAGACCTGTCAGAATATTTTACAATTGTCTCTAACTTTTTCATTTTTTGCCAATTAGTCGAAACTTCTTAAAATATTTACAGGACAAAACACAAACAAATTGTTAATTGAACTATTAGATGATGAAATTTAGAATAATATGTATAGAATGTTAAGGTTTAATTATGATATTATTATTGAAATTCTTACAAACAAAATAAAATTGTTAGTCTAAATAAAATTAGATTCAATCTCATTAAATAAGATTTTAAGTTGAAATGTAACAAATTGAAAAAATATCGTGAGACAAGAGACAAAATCAAATTAGGAAAGATTTTGAGTTAGCAAAAATACAATTAAATAACAGATAAGTTTATTATAATTGAATCATGAATCCATTAATTTTTCAGTAGCGAACAATGGCCAAGTGAAGTAATTAATTGATTGGCATCGGATGGTGACTGTAGATTTGTAGTTACAGTAATCACTTCATATAAAGAAAACAATATTAACTCCTACCCCCTTTTCAATTTGGAACGCCAATCTCGCCTCCGGACCCTCTGCTTTAACCCTTTTGCTTTATTAATTCGTACCATTATTCACAATGAAAGAGAAATTAAAAAGCTGAAACAATTCCCCCACTTTCTGGGACAACATGCATTACCATACTGCTGGGAATTGGAAACTCTACGAATGAATATGGGAGCATGTACCAGTGTACCTCACATTGCCCCCACCCATGTGCCATTACCCACCACGCCATCAATTTATTTTAATATATATAATAAATCATAAAATTATTAAAATTTATTTTCCTAATCTAAACTAGCAATTATAATTTTACATTTTATCTTATAAATATAGTAGCTGTTATTTTCAAAGAGTCAAATCCTTATAAATATGTGCATGGACGATGGACGGGGTCGATCAACTCATTTGTGCCAATTTCCCTCTGAAATACGAAGAAAAAGGACTACCTTGTTGCGCTGGGCTTATACTAATTTGGGGACCGACAATTCAAATGTCAATTTTATTGGAACAGAACAACTGCTGTACTATATATTTGGTGTGGTTTGACTAACCAGGTAAAATTTTGTCGTGAAACTGAAGCTTGAATTGCGGTCATGTCATATTGTCATGTCCCATGCATTTGCATGTTTATCATTGAATTGGATGCTCCACTTCAGGGTCTGATGTGAGAAAAACTTTGCTTGTTCATGACTTAAAGCGCAAACCAAATAATGAAGCACTTTCGTTTGGTGAAAGCTTCTAAAGTTTGTCCGGGACCGGGAAAATGAATCATGTTCATCTGGTTAAATTACGTATATCATGAGCAGTGAAAAGTTGCACAGGTTAATTGCATCCACACTCAGTGCCTGGTGGTCCACAAGCTCAGCGTTTCACAAATGTGGGATCCAAATTCTTGTAAGCAACAAATAAAATTTACTGCGGAAAACAATTCACCTACAGTTATTTAGGATGGGGCATCATTCTACATTAGATGATTGTCAACACTCAAACAGTACGTGAACCCCTTTTACTCTTCCATAATAACCAAAAAATTTGAACTTTATGGGCCAGAGTTGGTTTTAAAACCTTATCCATTGCATCATTGCAAGCACATGTGAAGTAATTAATTTGATAAGAATTATGTGTACTCAGTAATATGTGAACAACTATGGACTTGGTTTAGCACACAATGCTCGTTCAAGATATGGGAAGAACTCTAAAGAAAATAATCATGTTCATGAGACTTAATATGATAACAAAATTGTTGTGAGGAAATAAAAGCGGGACCGTGGGAGAGTGTCAGACTGGGAACCAAAAAGTATGAGTTTGAAATTGATTAGATAGCCTCTCTCATCGCACCTCATTTTCCATAAACAAAATACTGGAGGGAACAAAACAAAGCATAACATTTGGTTTTGTATTTTCCCTTTAGCATAAGAAGGGAAGCAAAAGAAAAAGCAAGCTCTTGTGACAGATTCCATTTGTTATGAGGAAACGGACAACAGCAATCATAAACGCTACCAATTCCATAACCTTTAATCATCGCATAAGTCATAACATTCCCCCACTCCTAATTACTACTAATTACCTCTCCAAGAGCTATGCCTATAATAACCCTGCAACTGCAACGCTTTTCCTCACTCACAGTCACACACTCTCTCCAATCATGCCACGTTCTCCTCCCATTTTAAATTAAAAACAACCACCATCGCCATCGTTCCTCCCTTCCCACACACCATAACATTAACATGAAAAGGCTTTCTCTCTCTCCCATAAACCCCGCACTGGCCTTAACCTTGGCCTTGGCCCTGTCCCTGTCCATCCTCTGCGTCGCAGAGGGAGCATACCAGAATGATACACACGCCCTCACCCAATTCCGCCTCCAAACCGACACCCACGGCAACCTCCTCCCCAACTGGACCACCGCCGACGCCTGCTCCGCGGCATGGCGCGGCGTCGAATGCTCCCCAAACGGCAGAGTGGTGGGCCTCTCCCTCCCTTCACTTAACCTCCGCGGCCCAATTGATTCTCTTTCCTCACTCACGTACCTCCGCTTCCTCGACCTCCACGAAAACCGCTTAAACGGCACCGTGTCGCCTCTCTTGAACTGCACCAGCCTCGAACTCCTGTACCTCGCCGGCAACGACTTCTCCGGGGAGATCCCACCGGAGATATCCTCCCTCAGGCTGCTCCTCCGCCTTGACATATCCGACAACAACATACGAGGCCCCATACCCGACGAACTCGCTAAACTAACCCACCTCCTCACGCTCCGGTTGCAGAACAACGCTCTCTCCGGCCACGTCCCCGACCTCTCCACTTCCCTCCACAACCTCACCGAACTCAACGTCACCAACAACGAACTCCGCGGCCACGTCCCCGATTCCATGCTCACCCAATTCGGCAACGCAACCTTCGCCGGAAACCACGCCCTCTGCGGCTCCACGCCCTTACCCAAATGCCCCACCAACGAAACAGAGTCACCGACTCCTCGTGTAACCGTTCCTTCGCTCCCGCAAACAACGGGAGTTTCTGTAACTGCAAGTGATACTCCGAGAAAGAAAGGGATGAGCGCGGGTGTCATCGTGGCGATCGTGGTGGCGGTCTGCGTGGCGGTGCTGGTGGCGGCGTCGTTCGCGGTGGCGCACTGCTGCGCCAGGGGAGGTGGCTCCGGGTCGGTGGTGGGGAGCGAGAGTGGGAAGAGGAAGCGCGGGAGCAGCTCCGGGCGCGGGGAG